CTCAATGCGTAAAATTTCAGCCCTCATTTGGTCGAAATCCCCGCGCCAAAGGTTTCTTCTAACTGTCCCGGGTTTCTTGGGCATGGAAAAAAGCGAGTAATCCCATAGAAGAACGACGTGGTCACTTTTACCTAAGGGGGGTCCCAGATCGCACGTATGAGAACTCCGTCGCAGAAAGTCGGGGAGAAACATGAGCACCCTCCGCATGGAACTCTTCAGAAACACTTTGTAGATCTTAATTTAGGAATTCAGCTTAGGCCGGAATGCCCTCAGATGTTTCGATCCAACCCACATGCAAAGAGATAGCGGAAGATAGAAGGAACGCTTAGAACTCTCTGACTGCCTAAATATTATTAGATATGGAACTTCATCTGGAAGAGATCTTTCTTCAATTATATGTTTATTTTTCGCTTCAGACCCTACGAAGTATGAAGGCTGATATCGTCATGTTATACATTGATTCGTACGTATTGATATTCTTGAGTCGGCTATTCCGCCTCGAGCCCAATCGAAGTAGAGGGAAATGTATGGAAACTACAGTTTTTTAAAGACATCTCAACTGAATTATTTAATGCTTGTAGTGATATGAACCACGAAAGATTTACCTCGCATCATAGTTTGAAGTCGCACGGATGTCAGGCCCCGCAGAAAACCAGGAGTAATTTCACCATAGTTGTAGGAATGAATGTGGGGGAGTGTAGAGTTTTTGAAATGCCAGAACACTAGGGGGTTTGCGTTATTCGTGATTTCACGGATATCTGAGTGGATAGCACGAATACGTTAATAGCTTGAGAAGTGAGATTTGGCGAAATTCACGTAATTATTAGCGAACGGCTGACGTGTAGCGCATTTCTTCGAAAGTGAGGCAGGAAGATAAGCCCCTGCCGCATGAAACTATTTTAAAACACCTTCCAGATCATAGTCTAGAATTCCAGCTTAGGCGGAAAGGCCTTCAGATGTTTCGATCTCCCTTGCATGTCAGGAAATAGAAGCAGGAGGTGAAGGCTGAGCACGCTCTGCTTATATTTTTTTTGCCTCGAGCCGAATCGATTAAGAGTTATTCTGTTTTGAGACATCTGTAGCGGGCAGCCATCATGACCGGTCTGGCGTCCTCGCTGCCTCAAGGTCATTCACCCCTTTGCAGTGAGCCGTTCCAGACGTGCTGACCTGAAGTCACACGACCGGCAACTCGGGCATACCTGCGTCCGCGCAGCCGCAGCTGCCCATGCGGTCACTTGAACGTACCGCCCCCCTGAAACCATAACCTAAGCCACTGGGACATCACCCCTCGGCAAATGCAACACACACTGACTGGACCCCACTTGAGCTTGGCCCACGAGCCTACAAAAGTCGCTGCCACCACTATCTCAAGGACTCTCAGGCATGGCTGGACGCAGTCAACACCAGCCCTGACTTCACCGGTGGCCACTACCGCCTGAGAACACAAATCCGGTTTCTGTGCCCAATAAACTCCTCATTCTGTGGCCTTCCGTCTTCTCCTTCCAATCTGGGATTTGATTTGTTTATTGTAGTGCGCGGAATACACACACTCGCACCACCTGGTCACGGCACATCTGACTCTCAATACGCAATGCTTGTAGTAATATGAAGCATGAGCGATTTAACTTGCATGATAGTCTGAATTCGCACGGATGTGAGACGGTTGTAGGATGTCATGAGTAACTGCACCATAATTAGAGGAATGCATGTGGGAGGGGAAATATCCGTGTGACAAAGTCTAACAGAATTCTCAGTCCATTATGAGGCTTCGGCTGTGAAGCTGACATGGTCATCGGTTGCGTGATCACAGGTCAACCGGGCAGTTGCGAAATCAGCCAATCATAGAATTAGAATGTGCACGGCAAATCGTGTTGACGCCACTAGACCATATCAGCCAATCATGGTACAGGCAGTGGGCCTCTCACCTTGCTCGACATAGTATAAATAGACGGTGTCAGCCTTAAGACGGTGTGATCCCGTCCATACAGTTGATCAACTCGAGATGAAACTGCAGCTTCACCTCCTTCTACTCACGGCCATCGTTTTGGGAACGTCGATAAACGGCGCTAGGATGGACGCTGCGGATAAGGAGCATGCTGAAAAGGAGACGGAGACGCCCCTGACTGGCGCTTGGGGCGGTGGTGGTGATCGTTGGGGTGGTGGCGATGGTGACCGCTGGCATGGCGGCGGTGGCGGTGGTGGCCGCTGGCAAGGCGGTGGTCGCAAGTGGTAAAGCCCCTGAAGTCCGTGTTGCATTCCACGTCGCCATCCGCGTCTGGGACTTCTATGAGTTGTCAGATTTTAAATAAATTTTGAAAAAAATGTGTATCCTTTTGCATAAATTCTCGGGGTATGGACTGCTAGTCGCGACAGCTGCAGTGTCTAATGGTCTTTGTATTTCTCGTTTTAACTTTCTGTACAAGATTGGATTAGGGCTCCATATAATCAGTGTCTAGCGCGGGATTTATTCGAGCCAGTTGATCGAAACTCACAGAATCTGCAACTGAATCTGTTTTTATTGAGGAGAATGAATTGCTCACCGGATAAAGGGACTTTTCTGGCCGACGTTTCGAAGAGCTGGGGCTGCTCTCCATTTTCAAAGCGTCATATGAAAAAATCAATCAGCACTTTTTGAATAGACTGCCGCATTAGTTGGCCTTGGGCCGATCGATTTTTTCTTCTTTCGCTGCCTTGGCCTACTAGCCGTCGCCTGTTGGTGGCCTCCTGTATTACGTGTCGTCACCTCAATTGGGTTTGGTTGCGTTTGCGTTCCCCTTTTGGGTGAAGTGGTCGATAGGCCGTGTTTGCTCGGCATTCTTAGGCTCCGTATGATTGTCTTGTCCGTACTCTGTTCCAAAGAGTTGAAACACACTGCAGCACACCAGTCGACAAAAGAGTTGAACGACAATACCTGCATGATCTCTTTCGAACCAATGGATACCCAAGCCACTTCATCAAGCAAAGCAAGCTCCGAGTGAACAGACGACGGCCACAAGAAGAACAACACGAAGTCTGGAGGGCTATTCCTTACATTAAAGGAGTCTCCGAGGCGGTTCCAAGACTGCTACAACCCGCCAGGGTAGGTATTGCCCACCCATATGTTGTTCCGTACGTTTTCATGTTCTCGTGTCACCTATTTCATCTCGAGCCGAATCGATTCAGAGTTATTCTGTTTTAAGACATCTGTAGCGGGCAGCCATCATGACCGGTCTGGCGTCCTCGCTGCCTCAACGTCATTCACCCTTTGCAGTGAGCCGTTCCAGACGTGCTGACCTGAAGTCACATGACCGACAGCTCGGGCATACCAGCGTCCGCACAGACGCAGCTGCCCATACGGCCACATGAACGCACCTGCCCCCTGCAACCACAACCTAAGCCACTGGGACACCACCCCTCGGCAAATGCAACACACACTGACTGGACGCCACTTGGGCTTGGCCCACGAGCCTACAAAAGTCGCTGCCACCACTATCTCAAGGACTCTCAGGCATGTCTGGACGCAGTCAACACCATCCCTGACTTCACCGGTGGCCATTGCCGCCTGAGAACACAAATCCGGTTTCTGTGCCCAATAAACTCCTCATTCTGGGGCCTTCCGTCTTCTCCTTCCAATCTGGGATTTGATTTGCTTATTTTAGTACGCGGAATGCACGCACTCGCACCACCTGTTCACGGCACATCTGACTCTCAATACTCAATGCTTGTAGTGATATGAAGCATGAGCGATTTAACTTGCATGATAGTCTGAATTGTCACGGATGTGAGCCGGTTGTAGGATGTCATGAGTAACTGCACCATAATTAGAGGAATGCATGTGGGAGGGAAAATATGCGTGTGACAAAGTCTAACAAATATTCTCAGTCCATTATGATGCTTCGGCTGTGAAGCTGACATGGTCATCGGTTGCGAGATCACAGGTCAACCGGGCAGATGCGAAATCAGCCAATCATAGAATTAGAATGTGCACGGCAAATCGTGTTGACGCCACTAGACCATATCAGCCAATCATGGTACAGGCAGTGGGCCTCTCACTTTGCTCGACATAGTGTAAATAGACGGTGTCAGCCTTAAGACGGTGTGATCCCATCCATACAGTTGATCAACTCGAGATGAAACTGCAGCTCCACCTCCTTCTGCTCACGGCCATCGTTTTGGGAACGTCGATGAACGGAGCTAGGGTGTACGCAGCGGATAAGGAACATGCTGAAAAGGAGACGGAGACACCCCTGACTGGCGCTTGGGGCGGTGGCGGTGGTGGTGATGGCGGTGACCGCTGGCACGGCGGCGGTGGTGGCCGCTGGCAAGGCGGTGGTCGCAAGTGGTAAAGCCTCTGAAGTCCGTGTTGCATTCCACGTCGCCATCCGCGTCTGGGACTGCTATGAGTTGTCAGATTTTAAATAAATTTTGAAAAAAAATGTGTATCCTTTTGAACAACTTCTCCGGGTATGGACTGCTAGTCGCGATAGCTGCAGTGTCTAATGGTCTTTGTATTTCTCGTTTTAACTTTCTGTACAAGGTTGGATTAGGGCTCCATATAATCAATTGCTGGTGGTATTGTTGTGGGTGTCTTAAGAAACCCTTAATAGGACTCTGAATGCAGTGTCTAGCGCGGGATTTATTCGAGCCGGTTGATCGAAACACAGAATCTGCAACTGAAACTGTTTTTATTGAGGAGAATGAATTGCTCACCGGATCGGGGGACTTTTCTGGCTGACGTTTGGAAGAGCCGGGGCTGCTCTCCATTGTCAAAGCCTCAAATGAAAAAAATCGATCAGCACTTTTTGAATAGACTGCCGCATTAGTTGGCCTTGGGCCGATCGATTTTTTTCTTCTTTCGCCGCCTTGGCCTACTAGCCGTCGCCTGTTGGTGGCCTCCTGCATTACGTGTCGTCACCTCAATTGGGGTTGGTTGCGTTTGTGTTCCCCTTTTCGGTGAAGTGGTCGACAGGCCGTGTTTGCTCGGCATTCTTAGGCTCAGTATGATTGTCTTGTCCGTACTCTGTTCCAAGGAGTTGAAACACACTGCAGCACACAAGCCGACAAAAGATTTGAACGACAATACCTGCATGATCTCTTTCGAACCAATGGATACCCAAGCCACTTCATCAAGCAAAGCAAGCGCTGAGTGAACAGACGACGGCCACAAGAAGAACAACCCGAAGTCTGGAGGGCTATTCCTTACAATAAAGGAGTCTCCGAGGCGGTTTCAAGACTGCTACAACCCGCCAGGGTAGGTATTGCCCATCGACCCCAGGCAACAATTCGTCGCCGTTTGATGCAACCCAAAGACATACTGCCACCCACTGAAACCCCCAGCATTTGTCCATCAAATACGTTGTAAGGATGGAGACTGCAACTACGTTGGGGAAACCGGACGGAAATTGCAGACCCGCCTACGTGAACACAAACTGGCAACACGGAGACTAGACCCAAACTCACAGCTTGCGGCTCACATCGGGGAAACTGGTCACAGTTTGATTTTCAAGGAGCAGCCGTCTTAGGCAGGGGCACCTCAAGGACTGAGCGTCTCACGCTTGAGGCTTGGTACTCAGATGCCAACTCCATCAACAGGCATCTAGACCCTCCTTCGGCCTATAAAGTCCTACGTCACTACATACACCGTGACGAAGACAAGACAATCATACGTAGCCTAAGAATGCCGAGCAAACACGGCCTGTCGACCACTTCACCCAAAAGGGGAACACAAACGCAACCAACCCCAATTGAGGTGACGACACGTAATGCAGGAGGCCACCAACAGGCGACGGCTAGTAGGCCAAGGCGGCGAAAGAAGAAAAAAATCGATCGGCCCAAGGCCAACTAATGCAGCAGTCTATTCAAAAAGTGCTGATCGATTTTTTTCATTTGAGGCTTTGACAATGGAGAGCAGCCCCAGCTCTTCCAAACGTCAGCCAGAAAAGTCCCCCGATCCGGTGAGCAATTCATTCTCCTCAGATTACCGACCCGGATCTCTTACTTTTGCCAACCTGTTTTTATTGAAATTCATCGGTTTTTGCCTTTATCTACAGTGGCATATCGAACTCGATTGGTAAATGATAAAGCTGCTTTGCGTGTCAATCGCTTGCAGGACAAACCAATATAGACTGAACTGCCAAATTTCAGGTGCGGAAAATTTGGGGTTTGATCCCGCGGCCAGTTGGTTATAAGTCTAACGTCCACTGTGTCCTCGATGACCACGGGCCCTATTTTGCCCGAACAGGTGAAGCGAATAGGTAAAATCCACAACTTTTTAGTGACCTTGGATAATTATCTAGAATAGCCGGCTCAAGAATATGAATACGTGCGAATCAATGTATAACATGACGATATCAGCCTTCACACTTTGTAGGGTCTGAAACGAAAAATAAACAAAATTGAAGAAAGATCTCTTTCAGATGAAGTTTTTAAATGAGTTCGATATTTAGGCAATATTTGGGCATTCAAAGTGTTCTAAGCGTTCCTTCTATCTTCCGCTATCTCTTCTCATGTGGGTTGGATCGAAAAATCTGAGGGCATTTCGGCCTAAGCTGAATTCCCAAATTAAGATCTGGAAAGTGCTTCTGAAGAGTCCCATGCGGAGAGTGCTCATGTTTCTCCCCGACCTTCTGCGGGAGGGTTCAAATACGTGCAATTTCGGACTATCGAGTGAAGTAAATCGTTTGTGGTCCGTATAACTATAAGCATTAAGTATCGCGAGTGGAATGTCTTAAGACATAATAACTCGCATCTAATTCCCTCTGAATCGATTCGGCTCGAGATGAAATAGATGACTCAGGAATATCAATACGTATGGATAAACATATCACATGACACCATCAGTCCTCATACATTGTGGGGTCTGACGTAAAAATAAACGAGGCTTCCTCAGCGTCCACTCTCTGATTCTATATTCTGACACCTGACGGCATTTCGGCCTAAGCCAGAATTCTAAATTCAGATCTAGAATGTGTTTCTGCGAAGTGTCATTTGGAAGGTGCTTATCTTCCCCCCTCACATTCGAATAAATGCGCTGTAAGTCAGCTGTTCGCTAATAGCTACGTGAATTTCCCCAAATCTCACGTTTTAAGCTGTTAACCTGTTTGACCTCCCCTCCCCCCCCCCTCCGATTTCCATGAAATCCCGACTACCACAAGCTTCCCCCTGTTCTGACATTTTAAACATTACAAAGCCGAATGACTCAAAGCATGCTTTGCTCCTCCGCATCAAATGTCCTAGATGCTTGGGCCTACGTGCCTTATAACTGCCGCCTGGGAGTTATTCTCTACACGAGAGGCAGTAACATACGAACAGTTACATTTTCTGCACCGATGTTTCCAAGACAAACTAACCCCACGATGCCTGAGATATAAAGCTCCCGTTAATACGGCCATGGGAAGAGAAGTTGTGAGGCGGTTTGTCAAACAGATGACAAGAGTTCTGATCGACGACTGTCATCGGCGTTTGCAGAAGTACAAGGCTGAGATCGAGGAGAACAGAAGGCAGTGTGTCCACACTCTCGGCGATTCTATCGCCACAGATCTTGGGAAGACGATCTCTGCTCTGGCACACCACAGGCAAGCCAAGAAGAGAGAAGTTTTGGAACGAAAACTGACTAAGCTAAAACCACCAGGCACAGAAAGCTCAAACTTGGTCCACAACCTCTCGTCTAAGCAGCTAACAGAACAGCAACTACGAGTGTTACAGCATGAAACTTGTTTCAACACTGCAGATGCCGATCCTGTCGACTTCGTTGCAGCCCTGGAAGCTATGCTTGTGAGGAGTGAAAAATTCGACGACATGAAACACCCCGTCCGACAGCGTGTTACTTCCTTGCTGATGACACACAGATCAACCAAATGTATTTCGCAGAGTGAGTCAAAGGCTATGAGGGAACTGAGGAGGGACGACAGCATTATTATTCTACCTGCTGACAAGGGACGATCAACCGTCGTGATGAATAGAGAAGATTATGATGAAAAAGCTAAAGCCCTTCTTGATGACAGAGAATTTTACAGACCAGCACAGAAGTCACAAGCCAAAGCAGTGGCAGATCGGCTGAGTAAACTGCTTAGAGAATACCGACATAAAAATGTGATCACGGAGAATGAATGGCACCAAATGAGGGTAATTGACACCGGTCTAGCCTGATTCTATGGTCTGGCAAAAATCCATAAGGCAACTGTCGCACTTCGGCCAATCGTTGCCCTAAAAGGCAGCCCCACGTACAATTTGTCAAAGTGGATGTACCCAAAACTGAAGTTCCTCCAAGGCAATTCGACTACCTCAGTTCGATCAGCCTCTCAATTCCTCATAGACCTCCGAGGTTGGAGAATTCAATCGGATGTAATCATGGTCTCCTTCGATGTGACGTCGTTATTCACATCCATCCCACCAAACGTGGCCCACGAAGTCATGCGCAAGAGACTCAGAATGCCCTCAAAACTGAACACCTCATGAGACTGTTTGAATTCTGTCAACAAACTTTCTTCACTTTTGCGGGAGAGACCTATGAACAAATCAAGGGAACCCCAATGGGCTCACCGGTCTCCGGTTTGGTGGCAAAACTAGTCCTACAGGAGTTAGAAAATATTGCCTTCCTCCAACATGAACCGGTGTTTTGGCGCCGTTGCGTTGACGACACATTCGTCATCGTAAAGAACGACATGCTGCAACATTTCCACAGCCTGATCAACGCAGTCTTCCCTGATATAAAATTCACGAGGGAAGAAGAACAGAAACAGCAGTTGCCCTTCCTGGATGTGCACGTCAGACGAAACCTTAACGGTGAACATGAAACGACGGTTTATAGGATGGCAACGAACACCACAGCTTCTCAGTTTTCACAGCAACCATCCTGTGGCTCACAAACGAAGCTGTGTGAAGACGCTCTTCAAACGGACCCAAACTCATTGCAGCAAACCGGAGGACAGAGCACGTGAGGCCCGTTATCTCCGCGACCAGTTTGTGCAAAATGGCTATCCGAGGGCATTCATAAGCCGCTGCCTACGCGGTCGACACCAGAGAACTCAAACATCAACGCCACCGACGATATGACATTCTCTGCCATACATCAAGGGCATTTCAGAAGCGACCGAACGCATTACTGCGGAGCGAGGTGTTGGAATTGCACACCGCCCCAAAGCCACCATGCTCAAGAAGGTCATGAAAATCAAAGACCGGTTAAGACCTGAAGAGCAATCTGGAGTAGTTGATCGCATTCCGTGTCAAAATTGTCCTTATAACTACACAGGACAGACTGGACGCATGCTCGGATCGTGCATACACGAACATAAACTGGCTGTACGGCGAGGCGACGCATATCACAAGTGGCCGCCCACACCTACGAAATGGGTCACGAGTTTGACTTCGCAGCCACCAAAATAGTTGCCCACGCCGGAAACAAAACAGGCCAAGAGTTGATTGAAGCCTGGGCCTCAGATGAGAACTCGGTCAATCGATTTATCGATCTGGCGCCATCGTACAGAGGCCTTCGTAATCACCTCCAGTCGTGCGACTTCGGTCGATGATTGGGCCTACGTGCCTTATAACTGCCGCCTGTCCTGTTTCTGCCACTACCTCTGACGACGGACTAATGTACGAATCCGAAAGCTCAGGATAATAAACGAAGTGTTCCGGTGCTCGACTCTCTTTCTTCACTTAAGTATTCCCTTTAGCAAGACCACTCACAGACTTAATGGTCCGTCCATAACGCAGCATTCATGACACTCTCATGAATGCGAGATTGTCCGAGTCGTCACATGAACTCCTGGAACACACTGTGGTGTCCATGTCGTGTGTGGCAGGCGTATAGGGCCCACAAGTCCAACTCCGTTCGTCCTGGCATTGCCTGTCATCGCGGAAGGACCAACCGTTCAGACTAACGCTCGTAGCTTCGTTGTTCCCTCCGATAATCAGACCCTTTGCATCTCACCTACAAATTACTACTCCTCCTACTTAGCCCACTTCTATTCCTTCCTATGAGACATTTGGTCAGCGAAGAGGTTCGTACAGATGAAGACATGATGCGCCTGTTCTAGCCTCCGAAGAGTGTTAATTTAGCTCACCCTCCTCTGTCAATAAACACTGAGTACTGCGGGAAAGGTATAACGGTGAATCTGCACGTAGGAGGAACAGGTCTGCAGTTCGAATAGGAAGTGGGGGCGGGGGGAGCTCTCAGGCCACAGCGATTACGACCGATCATAGGAACCGTCGGTAATTCGAGCCACCATCTGCACCACGCCGCATTTGCGGATATCATTTTATTTTGGCAGTCAGTGTAGGCAAACAGGTTTACGTGGATGGGGACTCATGCCGCAGTTGTTCGACCACGATAAGTTGTTTAATGCGTTTGGATGGCTATTCCAGGGTGATAGACTGCAGTTTATCGTCTTGCATGATGAGGCAGTATGGTCCACACAAACTGGTCAGCTAGATCAGACAAGAATACATGTTAAGTAGGTAAAAGTGGACTGTACAACGGCGATCGCCGCCAAACGCATCGATTAGCACGGCGGATTCCAAAACACCATCAGCGGAAGCCCGCAACTCCCCTCCATGCCTCCATGCAACCACGCTCATCACATCAGTCATAACCAGGAAACCGCGCATGATCACATCGCTACTGCAGATGACCATTTGGATTAAGTAGAGACTGAAGGATTCGGTGGATGCGACGGTACCGGACTCATTCATTTATTGCGTGTCGTTATAGTGAGGAAATCGATATGGCTTCGAGCCGGCTGATAAGGGGTGAAGGACTATCAGGATAAAACTAGAAGTCTACCACCAGACGACTCTGGCACTTATCGGTGACAGAGAATCTCACAGACTGGACAACTTCTTACCGTAGGCACGATTTTCTATTGGGAGGCAACAAATGATGACTGCAATGTCTGCGTCCATTCTTTCTCAAGGAAGAGCTGTCCATATCATCTTGAATGGGCCGACGAATAGTTGTGCGGACAGAAAGTGTGAAGTATCAAGGTCCATCTGGTTGAAACGCAGAGTTCTTGCTCTCTCGCCCTTCCTAGTCCAGGGAGTGGCTAAGTTTGTTATGCCAGCTATAATAGTTTTAGTAGGCTAAACATATGGTATCAATGAAGTGGGGCTGCAGAACCAAACCTCGCCCTATTTGGAGATCCCAAATGATGTCTGCAATATCGGCGTCCACTCTTTGTCAAGGGTGTGCAATCGAGGTCATCGTAAATGCGCCGTACTAATAGTTGTCCGTACAACAAGTAGTATTTAGCCATGTACACCTTGCCCTGGGTGAAGTATCTTGGGAAGAGATCAAGGTTAGCTAACCGCGTTGCATATGGTAGTGAACCCTGTCCTGCCACAAGTTTCGTTGCACGCCTTTGAACCCTTTCAAGTATGCTGAGGTCCTTCGCGGTCCAGGGTCTCGAAGCTTGGATAGCAAATTCTAGTTGCGGACGCACAAAAGTTCGAAAGACTTTAGCGAAGCAGTCTTCATCAAAGGCAGAGAAAGCCCGCTTGACAAGGTAGAGGACTGACATTGCAGACTTGGCTATCTTCGTGCAGTGCAGCGAAGGTTTGAGCGAGGTCGTAATCCATACTCCCGAGTCCTTCTGCGAGTCCACTTCTTGCAGTGGTATACCGTTTAGGCAGTAGGCCATATGGTTCGGAGAGCGAGCTCTGCCGACTCGTAGAATATTGCACTTTTTCTCGTTGAACCGCAGAAGCCAGGCCTTTGACCACTGTTGGAGTCGGTTTAGGTTCGACTGCAGATGCTCTTCGTCCTCTGCAGTTCGAATGACGCTCCAGAGCTTAATGTCATCTGGAGCGTCATTCGAACTGCAGAGGACGAAGAGCATCACAGTTTAGAGTACAAATACTACCCGTTTTTGTACTGACGTTAATTGCTCTTGCATTGCCCCCTGTCGCCTGTAGGCGCTTTAAAAATACCGTGACATATGCGGTCGCAGCAGTTGGCATCCACACACACCTAGGTCAGCTTAATCCGCAAGCAGGCGGAGTCCACCAACGCACAATCAATACTGCGCTTGCATGCAGACACTAACTTTCTACATGATCACGCGCTTGTTGCCTGCGCCAGGAACTTAGGCAATTAATCCGCATGTCTGTCCTCACACACACTGATATGTACCTATCTTGAAAGTAACCTCAATCAGTGTACTAACCGACCTGAGATTGTGTTTACTGGGCATAGTAACATTCATTATTTTGCCTGAAGTGGCAATATGCACGAATGAGGTCAGGTGCAATTCCGTGAAAGGGCCTGTCCGACGACTAGGGGGCGTACATGAATCCTGTATTTGAAATTAAGGAATAAATCGTGAAATATCCTAGTTAGGATGATTCCATAATAGGATACATGATGGATTTTCCCTCGAAGCAACCATGTGGAATATCTAAGTTTTTTTTTCTGAAAGCACCGATGGATACTTCAATAACACCCATGTCATATGTTATTAAACAAATGCGGGCCTTCCATCAAAGCGTCCGTGTGGAATGTCTAGAAGTATTTTCGACAAATGTGATTCCCACTAGCTAGTGAGTAGTAACTAAAATCAACACGCCAGATTCGCCGTGAAAGTGACTTTTACGTGTGAGGAGACGTGTGGAGAGGGAAGCCTGACAGATAATTTAAGGACTAAGCAGGCAGCAGATGGTTAGGGCCCAACTAATTGGACACGAGCTGTAATCCGCGCTTCAATCAAATAAACCATGATACTTCACCCAGGGCAAGGTGTACATGGCTAAATACTACTTGTTGTACGGACAACTATTAGTACGGCGCATTTACGATGACCTCGATTGCACACCCTTGACAAAGAGTGGACGCCGATATTGCAGACATCATTTGGGATCTCCAAATAGGGCGAGGTTTGGTTCTGCAGCCCCACTTCATTGATACCATATGTTTAACTTACTAAAACTATTTTAGCTGGCATAACTAACTTAGCCACTCCCTGGACTAGGAAGGGCGAGAGCGCAAGAACTCTGCGTTTCAACCAGATGTACCTTGATGCTTCCCACTTCCTGTCCGCACAACTATTCGTCGGCCCATTCAAGATGATCTCGATAGCTCTTCCTTGAGAAAGAGTGGACGCTGACATTGCAGTCATCCTTTGTTGTCTCCCAATAGAATATCGTGTCTACGGAAAACGTTGTTTAGTCCGTGAAATTGTCTATCATTGAAAAGTTCCAGGGTCGTCTAATGGTGGACTTATAGTTTTATCCTGACAGTCCTTCGCCCCTTATCAGACGGCTCGAAGCCATATCGATTTCCTCACTATAACGACACGCAATAAATGAATGAGTCCGGTACCGTCGCATCCACCGAATCCTTCAGTCTCTACTTAATCCAAATTGTCATCTGCAGTAGCGATGTGATCATGCGCGGTTACCGGGTTATGACCGATGTGATGAGTATGGTTGCATGGAGGCATGGAGGGGAGTTGCGGGCTTCCGCTGATGGTGTTTTGGAATCCGCCGTGCTAATCGATGCGTTTGGCGGCGATCGCCGTTGTACAGTCCACTTTTACCTACTTAACATGTATTCTTGTCTGATCTAGCTGACCAGTTTGTGTGGACCATACTGCCTCATCATGCAAGACGATAAACTGCAGTCTATCACCCTGGAATAGCCATCTATACGCATCAAACAACTTATCGTGGCCGAACAACTGCAGCATGCGTCCCCATCCACGTAAACCTGTTTGCCTACACTGACTGTCAAAATAAAATGATATCCACAAATGCGGCGTGGTGCAGACAGTGGCTCGAATTACTGACGATTCATATGATCGGTCGGAGTCGCTGTGGCCTGAGAGCTCCCCCCGCCCCCACTTCCTATTCGAACTGCAGACCTGTTCCTCCTACGTGCAGATTTACCGTTATACCTTGCCCTAAGTACTCAGTTGTTGGAAGGTAGGTAAGAGGATGAGCTAGAACAGGTGCACCATGTCTTCATCTGTACCAACCACTTCGCTAACCAAATGTCTCATAGGAAGGAATAGAAGTGGGCTAAGTATGAGGAGTAGTAATTTGTAGGTGAGATGCAGACGGTTTGATAGTCGGAAGGAACAACGAAGCTACGAGCGTTAGTCTGAACGGTTGGTCCTTCTGCGATGACAGGCAATGCCAGGACGAACGGAGTTGGACTTGTGGGTCCTATACGCCTGCCACACACGACATGGACACCACAGCGTGTTCCAGGATTTCATGTGACGACTCGGACAATTTCGCATTCATGGGAGTGTCATAAATGCTGCGTTATGGACGGACCATTGAGTCTGTGAGTGGTCTTGCTAAAGGGAATACTGTTCTTTGATATTTGATGTGGAGGAAAGCACGCTTTGAGTCTTTCGGCTTTATAATGTCAGAACAGGGGGAGGCTTGTGGTAGTCGGGATATCACGGAAATCGGAGGGGGGGGATAGCTAAAACAGGTTAGCAGCTTAAAACGTTAGATTTGGGAAATTCACGTAGCTATTAGCGAACAGCTGACTTACAGCGCATTTATTCGAAAGTGAGGGAGGAAGATAAGCACCTTCCAAACGACACTTCACAAAAACACATTCTAGATCTGAATTTAGGATACCGACTTATGCCGAAATGCCTTCAGATGCTTCGGTCTAGACCTAAATGTGAGGATATATAATCAGAGAGAGGACGCTGAGGAAGCCTCGCTTATTTTTGCTTCAGGCCCCACAAAGTATGAGGACTGATGTTGTCATGTGATATGTTTATCTGTACGTATTGATATTCTTGAGTCATCTATTTCATCTCGATCCGAATAGATTCAGAGGGGATTAGATGGGAGTTATTTTGTCTTAAGACATTCCTCTCGCAATACTTAATGCTTATATTTATATGGACCACGAACGATTTACTTCAGACGATGGTCCCAGATCGCACGTATTTGAACTCCCTCGCAGAAAGTCACGGAGAAAGATATACACCTTCCGCATGAAGCTATGCAGAAACCCATTCCAGATCTCAATTCGGGAATTCAGCTTAGGCCGAAAGGCCCTCAGATGTTTCGATCCAACCCACATGTAAAGAGCTAGCGGAAGATAGAAGGAACGCTTAGGACTCTCTGATTGCCTAAATATTACATTTACATGCATCCCATCGAACTCATTTCAAAACTTCATCTGAAATAGACCTTTTTGTCGCTTCAGACCCTACGAAGTATGAAGGCTGATATCGTCATGTTATGCATGTATTCGTACGTATTCATATTCTTGAGTCGGCTATTCCCTCTCGAGCCCAATCGATTTAGAGGGAAATATATGGAAACCACAATTTTTTAAGACATCTCAACTGAATTATTTAATGCTTGTAGTGATATGAACCACGAAAGATTTACTTCGCATGATAGTGTGAAATCGCACGGATGTCATGCCCCCGATGAAAACCAGGAGTAATTTCATCATAGTTGGAGGAATGCATGTGGGCCGAGATATATGCGGGTTGCAAAATCTAACAGAATTCACTGTCCTTCTCTACGCTTCGGCTATGTAGCTGGCATGGTCTCTGTCTGCGTGATCACAGGTCGACAGGGCATCTGCCAAATCAGCCAGTGATAGAATTCGAATGTGCACGGTAAATCGTCGAGCCGAGCGGGCTAGGTCCCGTGTTGATGGTCAAATCCAGAATCGATCTTCTCCCCAGACCAAGGATGGATTTAGGGTCTATTGGATCACTTGTTGGTGGCTATTCGTTGTCAGTATATCATTGAGCATATTGGTGGGTGAATCTAGGAAACCCTTAATTCAACTCGGCATACAGTGTCTAGCGCGGGGCAATGTAAGATTCGAGTCGGTTCATCGATCATAGCTTTTTTACCTTGATCGACCGTGCCAAACGTTGCTTTGTGTGTCAATCGTTTCCAGAGCAAACCGGTAAAGACGCGAATGCCAAATTTCTCTTGTTCTACAGTCATACCCAACCCCCAGGTGTGAAACATATGGCGCTCGAACTCGCAGCCTGTTAGTTTGAAGTCCAACGCATTTAGTCAGACCTCTGGGCACTGTCGGAACTTCCGGCCTCGCAGAGAAGAATACGATGCGGAGGATGGCAATGCTAGCTTCCCAATCAACGGAATTAATATTTAGGCTACAATTGGTTGCTTCCAGGCTGAGTAAAAATTTTAAAATTATACTAACCTCAAGCCAAGCAATACGCATTATGGAAAGTAATTATGCAGTTCTGTGTGTTTGCTCATCCTCTAAATGCTGCTTAGAACGGCATAATCAGACAAAAGGTACTTAACACTCCCCCCCCCCCTTCCTGAATGGAATGTAGAATACAGTGTCAGATATGTGCAATAAACGGTCAGTGTTTGGACACGAATCTAACACATACTCGCACGGATGTCAGGTCCCCGATAAAAACCTGGAGTAATTTCACCATAGTTGGAGGAATGAATGTGGGGTGGGGGGAGTGTAGAGTTTTTGAAATGCCAGAACATTAGAGGGTTTGCGTTTTTCGTGATTTCACGGATATCTGAGTGGACAACACGAATACGTTAGTACCCTAAGAAGTGAGATTTGGCGAAATTCACGTAATTATTAGCGAACGGCTGACGTGTATCGCATTTCTTCGAAAGCGAGGAAGGAAGATAAGCCCCTGCCGCATGAAACTATTTTAAAACACCTTCCAGATCATAGTCTAGAATTCCAGCTTAGGTCGAAAGGCCTTCAGATGTTTCGATCTCCCTTGCATGTGAGGAAATAGAAGCAGGAGGTGAAGGCTGAGAACGCTCTGTTTATTTTTTTGCCTCGAACCCCACAAATTGTTGGGTCATGCCATATGTTGTTCCGTACGTTTTCATGTTCTCGTGT